GAATTAGAATTAATGTATATTTCAGCTTGTAGAGTCATGAGTCTCATCTGGGGGCACTGTGACAAATGCAGGGATCTTGGGGAGGAATCCTCAAAGCTGCATTTTTTTTTTTTTTTTGATGGCAGCACTGGGGATTGAACTCAGGGCTTCACACTTGCTAGAAAGGCGGTCTATCACTTAGCCAGCCATCAAAGCTTCATTTTGATCATTGTCTGAGATGGACCACACTCTTGGACAAGAAGCCATAGGCACCAGTGGCCCGGCACTGGCTGAGTTGGAGAGGATAGATTAGAAGGGCAAGAACAGAGACAGAGGCTGTTGTGTGGGATTGTTTTGAGTGTCCCGTCTGATGTGACAATGATAGTTAACTTTTAGAGTACTTACCTAACTACGCCATGAGCCAGGCTTGAGCTAAGTCCTCTTCCTAGGTAATCATGTGGATTTCTTACAAGAGTCTTGTGTGGTAGGTATACTCATTATTTTCATTTCACAGTTGAGAAAGCAAAGATTCGGAGAGGTGAAGCAACACACCCAAGGTCACACAGGTAGGAGGTGTGTGTGTGTGTGTGTGTGTGTGAGTGTGTGTGCGTTAGGGGAGGCAAAACCTGCTCTGGACAGTCACAGAGGCGATTAGTAGGATCTGTAGGGACATATATGGGCATGACTCGGTGAGAGGTTGTATATAGGGGATGGGAGAGAGGTATGAACTACAGGTGGGTAATTACAGGACCCTAATTCTTCATGTCACCAATCAAAAACTGAGGGGAACCCAGCATCCTCTTTCTGTTCTCTGTCTGTCCCCTTCTCTATTTTTCTGTGTTCCTCTTTGGGGACTTCAGGGTTCAGGCATAGGGGTGACCATTGTGTGTGATTAGTACATTCTGTACACTTTGGACAGATGCATAATATTATAGATCTCAGGCCATAATTTCTTTATTTTTCTCCAACTCAACTTCTATTCTGTTTCCATTGGTGGAAATTTGGAGTGTCTCTGCCTTTCCCCAGTGGGATACCGCTGGCACCCAGTGCTGTCTATTCACACTGATCTTTGTCGACATGACCCATCCAGGCCTCTACCCTGAGAAGTCCTCTGCCTTGTCAGCCTTTCCCTTTGGAGATAACGACTTCCATCTCTCCATGTCATGTCAAAGCATAGAAATCTTTCTGACACAGAGGACGTGGGCATTTTTGCAAGCTTTCCAGGATCACTACACAATTCTTTTCCTCTAGTGTCTTGCTGCCTCCCAGGGAAATGGGAGCAATCACTTAATGAGGACCTGATTTAGCCACTTTTCTGGGATCCATTGGCCCGCCTGGGAAACAGTAAGTATAGGCTGTCCCAGCTGGAGGACCACTGATGTCCCTTGTCTCATCGCTCCACTCCTTCTTTCTCTGTACAGTCCAGTGAATCTGTACCAGGGGTCTGCACATTCTCTACTTCCAAATGTGACATCTCCATTTTCTGGGTTGGAGGGTGTGAACTCACTTTTATTCTGATTCCCACTTTTTAATTTTCTTTTTCTCACTTTATTCTCTGGCAGCTTCAGGAATGCCTCACTCTCTGAATTTCTCCTAACTCAGTGTCTGCTCCTTCCTGCTTTCCTTTGCTCGCTCTTCCTTCTCCTCTCTTCACATGTTGCATTGTTTTACCTCTTCTCCCCACCCCGGGCAACTGTCATTCTCTGTGCACTAGACACCAGCATTCCTGTCTGCATCCCAGGCTTCTCTCCCAGACTAGACCACCTGTTGTCATACAGATGCTCCCATCTCTTTCTCCCTAAGCCTATAGCTCTCATGTTCCCCACATCATTACCATTCATTTGTCTAAAATAATCATGCCAGAATCCTGGACATCGCCCTTGATGCCTCCCTCTCCCTCCCCAGCATGTTACCATCAAGCACTGAATTCTGTTGATTTTTGAAGGAGCTCAGGGAGTAGTTGTATTAGTTAGCTTTTTTGTTATTGTAGCAAAATACCTGAGTAGGCTACTTTATAAAGAAATGAGGTTTGCTTAGCTCAAAGTATTGCAGGCTGGAAGTTCAAATAGCATGGTGCAGGCTCTGGTGAGGGACACCTGGCTGCATCACATCATGGTAGGAGTATGTGTGTCCCCATGTGGTCTCTCTCCCTCTCCATATAAAGGCACCAGGAATCAATCAGGGGACGCCACCTAGTGCCCTAATCCATCACTTTCCAAACGCCTTACCACTAAACACTGTATTCAGATAGTTCCTACCTTGTTAGTACCATTAGTATATGTTTTTGGGGGGTCAAATACTGAGTTCAGGGGAAGTCATATTCAAAATCATATTCAAACCATAGTAGCAATTATAGATTCTAGCCAGATAATCTAGGTTCATGTTCTGAATAAGCCTTTTTCTAGCAGTGTGTCTCAGTCTAATTTGTGCTGCAATAATAAAATACCTGAGACTGGGTAAATTTTTGTAGCAGTGCTGAGGATGGGACCTAGAGTCTTGAAAATGCAAAGCAACCACTCTACCACTGAACTAATCCCCCAACCCCAAGACTGGCTAATTTATAAAGAGCAGAGATTTATTTCTTGCATTTTGGGGGATTTGAAAGTCTGAGATCAAGGGGCCAGCATCTGCTAAGGGACTTCTTGCCGTATCATTCCATGGCAGAGGCAAAAGGGCAAGACAGAGCGCAAGAGGGGCTGAAGTCATCCTTTTATAAGGATTCCACCCCTTGATAATGGCTTTAATCCATTTATGAGGGCAGAGTTCTCATGGGTAATCATTGCTTAAATGTCCCACTGTTCCAGTGGCAATTTAATTTCAATTTGAGTCTGGGAAGGGACAAACTATATTCAAATCGTAGCACAGAGGAACTTAGGACAAGTGACTTAACCTCCCGACCTTCAGTTTCTTCAGCCATAAAGTGGGAACAATAGTGCCTGTCCTTCCTAGGGTAGTGGTGAGCAACTATTTAATAAAGATGTACATGGTTCCTACTGTGTTGAATAATTCTCTCTACTAAATATCTCTTGAATTGGTCTCCTCCTCTTCCCTGGTCCAAGCCGCCATCATCTATCACTCTGCTCTCTTCCTGCCCTGCACCACCTTCCTCAGTCCCCACTAAATACCCAAGTTAGGGTGGTCTTTTCAATATGTAAATATGATGCAAATGTTTAGCACCTGTAATGGCTTCCTCTTGCACAGATCGCAGTCAAGGCATGATCTGGTCTCCATTCACCTGTCCAGCCTCATCTTTGCCATTGCCACTGAAACTCACATATGACTTCACTCTGACTTCACACATTTCCAAAGCACCCTGGAGAGTTGCTTCCTTGTAATATATAATGTAATAAAATCTGTGCTCCTAGCTGGGGTGCCTGTGGCTCATGTCTGTAATCTACCTACTTGGGAGGCTGAGATCAAGAGGATCACATTTCGAGGCTAGCTCGGGATCTCCAAAATAACCAGGGCAAAACGGACTGGAGATGAGGCTCAAGCGATACAGTGCCTGCTTTGCAAGCATGAAGCCCTGAGTTCAAACCCCAGTCCCACCAGAACAAATAAACTGTGCTTCCATGGATAAGAAGTGAAATTGCAGCCCAATTGCTCCAGGTTGCACTCTTGGCTCTGATCACCTCCTTTGCCAGTTGATTCCTGATTCCTTCATTTGGGAAGGGTTCATTTCCTTATTTGTAAATAAAGGCTGGGCACTGTCGGAAACACAGAGGAAATCAGACCCAGCCTGGCTTGCTCTGGGTTGGCTGAGAGCCTTCGTTGAATTAACTGATTTCCTGTGAGATAGGTAATATTACTAGTTCCATTTTCCTAGGACGGAAACTGAAGCACAGAGAGGTGAATTATCTTGCCTAAGGTTGTACAGCTAGTAAATCAAAGAGCCAACTTACTTGCAGAGTCTTGATATTGCTAATGAGACTGAGTGTTATGAAGCCTTTGATGGATTTCAGATGCAGGGACAATGGCATTTTAGTTAGTGAAAATCCAATAAGAATTCATAAGAATTTTTTATGTGTCTCACAGTTTACAGTGTGGCTTTACATAGATGCTCTCGTTTTTCTAAATGAGGCAGTATAGAGTAGTAGTTAACAGCACAAGGTCTAGTTCTTGATAATCCCAACATTTGTTTCCCAAATGTTAAGTGTTTGCCCCATCTTTCTCACTTGTCATAGGGTTACAAAGTATTTACTGCATGCAGCTGTATTAAAAAATATCAAATTCCCTTGAAGAGTTATCACGGAGCCTAGCAAATTACAAGTGCTCAGGGTAAAAAAGGTGAAATGATACAAATTGCTGGATTATTCTATTGGTCCCAGATGATGTATCAAATTTCCTGAGCTGGATAAGTCTCACAACAGCTCTGAGAGGGTTTTGTCTTCATTGTATAAATAACAGCTCATGCTTTTTAGGTGCTGGCATTGGTTCACAACATTTTGTTAATTCAGTCCTCACAACTTTCCTGAGAGGTCAGTGCTACAGATTTTAATCCCCATTGTGCAGGGGAGGGAACAGAAAATAAGTAACTTGATCAAGTTTACAGCCAGCAGGAGTAGCGACGCGGCAGTTTGCTTCCAGGGTCTACACTTACAACCATTTTCAAGAACAGGTGAGGAAAAAGACTCAGAGTGTATATATAGTCTTCCAGTTCCAATAACCAGCTTCAGGTTTCAAACTCTTTACATTTTCATTGTGTACAGTAGATGGCGTCCCAGCGCATGGCAAACATCAGGACTTGGATGGGGCGGGGTGGGGTTGGGGGATCGAAACTACCATACCCACAATGCAGTGCGAACCAAAGGGCCCATTCCCTTTTTGCTGTCTGAAGTGGTGCCTGTCCTCGCACTTGGGGGAAATGTGTGTGCTGAAACCATTCGGGTTCTTTTCCTACCTGTAGAAGACAAGCTTAAAGTTTTTTTCTATTTTTCCTTGTTTTACTGTTGGAGAGTCAATAGGCGTGAAATAAGGCTATTTGTTGGCCTAACATGAGGACCCTTGACCTTTGGCCCAAGATGGCGGCGTCCAGAGCAGCGCTCTTAACTGGTGTCCAGAAGTGAACTAAGACTAAAAGTTCCGCATCATGTCGAAATTAAGCCGGGCCTCACGGGCCATCAGGAAGCCAGAAGTCGGCGGCGTGATCCGGACCATTGTGCGAGCTGGCCAGGCCATGCCTGGGCCTCCTCTAGGCCCCGTCCTGGGTCAGGTGCGGCGGTGCTGGAACCCGGCATGGCAGACGCCGGAGGGCGCGGGTACCGGCTCAAGAGCCAGGGAAGCTCAGCTCTGCTACTCACACCTTTGTGTTGAGTTACGTAGCCTCTTTGAGCTTCAGCCTCCCCAGTCCCGTCTCAATAGTCTGTGTGAGGGTAAAGTGGGAAGAGGCATAAAAATCGTCCCTCACGTAAAGCAGTGGTTGAATTTGGGTAGAAGATGGGGACACCAAAAAGTGAAGAAGGAGGGAAGGGACGGCGCCTCCTGGGTGGTGGGAAGCCTTCACTTCCCGATACTAACTCTCTGTGCTCCTCTCACAGCGAGGCGTTTCTATCAACCAGTTCTGCAAGGAGTTTAACGAGAAGACCAAGGACATCAAGGAAGGCATTCCGCTGCCTACGAAGATTTTTGTGAAGGTGCAGAGTCCGGACTCTCATCCCGATTTCCTTCTCAAACACCCTTTCTTCCTGGTCCTAGACCTGGTCACCTGGGGTTGCTGCTCTGTGGCTGACTTGGTGCAAGTCTCTTCCTGTTACTGGGCTCCACTTTCTAGATCATATTTTTTTCTGAACCTACCTGGTCCTGCCTTATCGTAGTTCTATCCTTTGTCCCTCCATCTCACTGAGCAGAGTTGAGCCTGGAGCAGAGGTGGCCGGGATATTTGCTGCAGTTTCTTTTTCCCTGTGGTTTTGTGGTGTGTTAGGGACAACAACCACAAAGGGGACGTTAGAAGTTCCCTGGGCAGCATAAAGAGATATTTTCATATTAATCTTTTCTGTTAAGCCTGACAGGACATTTGAAATCAAGATTGGACAACCCACTGTTACCTACTTCTTGAAGGCAGCTGCTGGGATTGAGAAAGGGGCCCGGCAAACAGGTGAGAGCCAGAGTGGGTGCCTGATTCTGGAGTCTCTGGGAGGAAGCAGTGACACTTGAAGAATTATTTGTTTCTCCCAGGGAAAGAGGTCGCAGGCCTGGTGACTTTGAAGCACATATATGAGATCGCTCGCGTCAAAGCTCAGGGTGATGCCTTCGCCCTGCAGGATGTCCCCCTGTCCTCTGTCGTCCGCTCCATCATTGGCTCCGCTCGTTCCTTAGGCATTCGTGTGGTGAAAGAGTGAGTGTCCTGGGAGGGCAGTGTGAAAGGAAGGCCCGGAAAGCTCTGGATTGTGAGACAGAGCTGAGAGGGCCCATTATAATCAGTCAGTTTTGAGTCAAAGGACCTTAGATTCTTGGGAATGGGGCATGGGTCAAAGCCTCATTCATTCATTTGGGATACATTTATTAAGCGCCTGTTGTGTATTAGACATTGTCCTGCAATAGGTTTTGCTTAAAAAAAAAAAAAAAAAAAAAGACATTGTCCTGGACATTGGATATAGGCAAGAATGAGCTCATGCTTGACCCACTGTGGAGGAGCTTACAGTCCTGAAGTAGAAGCAGAGCCATAAATGGAGCATTATACTGTCAAGTGATCAATGTTGATCAAAAGGCAGTGGATGTCATGAAAGAAAGGAGGACCTGGATTTTGCCTAGTGTGACAGTGAGGGCTCTTTAAGGGGAAGTAACATCTAAGCAGAGTCCTGGAAAAGGAGGGCAAGGGCTGGAGGCAAATGTTCCAAGAAGTGGAAAGACCATAGTGAAGGATGGAAGGTGAGCGAGAAAGAGAATATAATGTAACATGGGAGTCTAGTCCTAGAAGTAGAATGGGACATGGTCTGAGGGAGGGACCAATGAGGAAGGACCTTTTGAGCTGTCCCATGCTCAGACTTGATCCTGAGGCTAAAAGTGTCCTCCTCCCCCTCTCCCACTTCCCCAGGAGACTTTGGATGATCTCAGAATTGTTTCCTTGAAGTAAGATGTTGAGTGGGAGGGTATCTGGCCCAGACTATAGCAGGAACAGGGACAATCTTCACTGACCTCTTGCTGTTTGTCTCATACTTGATGCCAAGAGAAGCAGGGTTGAGCCTGGAGCAGAGATGTACTTGACTTTGCTCAAATCTTAACTTTTATGGAGAGCACAGAGATGAGTAGGTTTAATCTCTGCCTTGGGAGGACATCCAGGCACAACCCTGTGACTTCATTGTACATTGGGGACACAGAGTAAAAGCCAGTTAATCCAAACTGGGGAATAGCTGAGACCTTACAGGATGAATAGGGCTTTTAAGAAGGGGATAAAAGGCAAAGGTTTTTGGGGGGCTGTAGATGGCATTTTTGGCAGAGGAAACAACAAAAGTGTGGAAGCTGGAAAGTCCAGGGAGGGAGAAGGGGCCAGGGAAGCTGGGCTCTATGACAGTGACATGGGCCCTGTGATGATGAGCTACTCATCTGTCTTTCTTCACCTGCAGCCTCAGTGCAGAAGAACTGGCAACTTTCCAGAAGGAGCGAGCCGTGTTCCTGGCTGCTCAGAAAGAGGCAGATTTGGCAGCCCAGGCAGAAGCTGCCAAGAAGTGACCCCCATCCTCCACACCAGGATTTTGAAGGAGCAGCTGGGAAGGGGCCAATTGAGAAAGCTATGCCAGAGGGGAGAAGGAAGGTCACACCAACATGATTAGTATTTTCCTGGCTTTATGTGGTTTTTGCATATATGGTATATCGAGACATCAAGCCTGAATAAACATCTTTGTCACCTGCTCTCAACTTCTGTCGTGGGATCCCGGGAAAGGATGCTAGTACTGCTATTAACCAACCTGGACAAACGTTAGCTGCCCTTGGAGGTAGATAGGGAAAAATGCTACTTCTTAAATGTGTAAACTTGGGCGCAGCCAAGCAAAGCAAAGCAACTTGCCTAGTCTTAGTCCATTTTTGTTGCTGTAACAAAATATTTCAGGCTGGGTACTTTATAAAGAAGATGTTTATTTGACTCATAATTCTGGTGACTGAAAATCCTAAACAGCTTGGTGCTGTTACCCAGAGTTCTAGGCCAGAGGCCCAATTTCATGGGTTCTACATGTCACATCCAGGCGTGCTGCAAGAAGAGACAAAGTGAGCACTTCAGTTCATCTTAACAATACAGAGCTGAGCTTTAGGTTTGAATAGAGAACATATTGGGGCAAGAGGTAAGAAATATGCATAATTATTTAACAGCAAAACTGTGGTCTGGTTGGCCATCTCAGGATGGTAAAGTAGCACCTGGTCATCATAAGAAAGACATTGTCATCTGTCTTCTAGAGGCTCTGTTCTTTTTCTTAGGGGTAATTTTGATCCCTTGTGATAGGGATGTTATTAGTCAGTCCTGTCCTTGGAACCCAAGGTGGTTGCAGGAGAAGGAGACTCAGAGCAGAGGAGACAGATGCAAAAAGGACCCAGAAATGTGAAGCTTCTATCCTGCTTTCAGTTAACTTGGGCCAAGTAAGGAGTCAGTGCTTTTTTAGCCAAGGCGGTTTTTAAGTACTTGTAGCCAGTGGGGGGTGGGGGGGGGGGGGGGGAGGGGGGGGGGGGTAGTATGGGGTTCTGGGCGGGGGGAGGGGGGGGGGGGGGGGGGGGGTGGGCGGGATTGGGGGAGGTGGGGTGGGGTGGGGGGGGGGGTGGGGGTCGGGGGGTGGAGGGAGGGTGGAGGGGGGGGGGAGGGGGGGGTGGTCGGGGTGGTGTCTGGGGCGGGGCCCCATAAGCTTGCATCCACAACATGGTGGAAAAGTGGTCACATGGAAGGGGCTGAGTGTGGGGTGGCCTCACTTTATAACACGCTTTCCTCTTAAGACAAGCATTAATGCATTCGTGAGGGTGGAGCCCCCATGATCTAATTACTTTCCACTAGACACCCATATTTTAGGGGCTTCAGCACCTCAGTAATACCACTCTGGAACCAAGGCTCCAGCACATAAACCTTTGGGGAACAAGTTGTAATACTCAGGTTCTGAGATGGTGCCAAAGGTAGTAAAAGCCAGGCTTTCTGATTAAAAAGAAGTCCTGTGTTTGGAGATAGGGATGTAACTTAGTGGTGTTAGGCCCTGGGTGCTCTCCCCAGGACTACAAAAAAAAAAAAAAAAAGCTGTATGTGGTGGTACATACCAGGAGGATCACTAGTTCAAGGCTAGAGTTAGTAGAGTTAGGGAAGAATTGAAATTTGCATTTATTGAACCTGGGCTACATGAAGCATTCTAGGACAGCCTGGGCTACATGATGAGATCCTGTCTTAAAAAAAGAAAGACAAGAAAATTCTGTCTTATTTCCCTCCCTCCACGGGTAAGAGAATGGGCAGGGGGCAGGTGAATGCTGGGGCTTGGGTATATTTCTTGTCTCCCATTAGGAATTTATCTCTTGCCCACCTTAGCAGAAACATAAGGGCTCTGTGGGAGATCTCAGATCACAGGCCCTTTGCAGGGTACTACATGGAGTGCCCTAGATTTGAGGGGCTCCTCTTCAGTCTCCTCTACTAAGCTTTTTTCCTACTAACTTTTTTATTTATTATTTTTGCTGTGCTGGGGATGGGACCCAGAGCCTCATGAATACAAAGCAAGTGCTCTACCACTGGAGGTCAGATGTCACCTGTTGTAGGATCCTGGCCATCGAAGAAGAAGCAAAACTTCAGCAGGTGCCTGCCTGAGGCAAGAGAAGTCCTTGAGAAGCCTTGGCCTGTTTCCTTCATCATTCAGAACATCAAAGATTCTTGTCCTCTCAGTAGAGAGGAGAGGACTGGAGGTGTGGTTCAAGCTGCAGAGCACCAACCCCTGAGTTCAAACCCCAGTCCCACCAAAAAAGAAGAGAGGAGGAGTTGGGGTAGAAATGAGAGTTGTATTTACTGAGCATTTGTTTTGTGTTAAACACTTCATTTGACACTGAGGAAATTTGGAAAGTATGGAAAAGCACTTCCAAGAAAAGGAAATCTGTGATCCCGCCATCCAGTTAAGACTCCTGCCAATAATTTGCTGTGCTCTTTTCTACTCTCTTTTTTTTTTCTTTGTGTGTTGATATACATTTTTTGAAAAACAAATTGAGGTTTAGGGGTTTGAATCAGTGGCAGCACACTGTCTAGCATGCCTGAGGCCCCAGGCTCCATCCCTCCCACCGAAAAAAAAAAATAGCTACAAAAAGCCAGTTGGGGATTGGTGGAGTGACTCAAGTGGTAGAGCGCCTGCCTAGTGAGCATGAAGCCATGAGTTAAAACTGCTGTACCACCAAAAAAAAAAAAAAAGCCAAGTCAGTTGGGCTCATACTCTATATACTGTTATATTTTCCTTTTAACTTAGCAATTATTTAGAACACTTTCATTATCTTCCTAATGATGGCTTAGCACTCTGTCTTTTTTTTTATGAGTTTTTTTTTCATTTTTCTTTTATTATTCATATGTGCATACAAGGCTTGGTTCATTTCTCCCCCCTGCCCCCACCCCCTCCCTTACCACCCACTCCGCCCCCTCCCTCTCCCCCCCCAATACCCAGCAGAAACTATTTTGCCCTTATTTCTAATTTGTTGTAGAGAGAGTATAAGCAATAAAGGAAGGAACAAGGGGTTTTGCTGGTTGAGATTAATGATAGCTATTACAGGGCATTGACTCACATTGATTTCCTGTGCGTGGGTGTTAACCTTTCTAGGTTAATTCTTTTTGATCTAACCTTTTCTCTAGTACCTGTTTCCCCTTTTCCTATTGGCCTCAGTTGCTTTAAGGTATCTGCTTTAGTTTCTCTGGGTTAAGGGCAACAAATGCTAGCTAGTTTTTAGGTGTCTACCTTCCTTCACCCCTCCCTTGTGTGCTCTCGCTTTTATCATGTGCTCATAGTCCAAATCCCCTTGTTGTGTTTGCCTTGATTAATGTCCACATATGAGGGAGAACATACGATTTTTTGGTCTTTTGAGCCAGGCTAACCTCACTCAGAATGATGTTCTCCAATTCCATCCATTTACCAGCGAATGATAACATTTCCTTCTTCATGGCTGCATAAAATTCCATTGTGTATAGATACCACATTTTCTTAATCCATTCGTCAGTGCTGGGGCATCTTGCTGTTTCCATAACTTGGCTATGTGGAATAGTGCCGCAATAAACATGGATGTGCAGGTGCCTCTCTGGAGTAAACAGTCTTTTGGTATATCCCCAAGAGTGGTATGCTGGATCAAATGGTAAATCGATGTCCAGCTTTTTAAGTAGCCTCCAAATTTTTTCCAGAGTGGTTAGTACCAGTCTACATTCCCACCAAAATGTAAGAGGGTTCCTTTTTCCCCACATCCTCGCCAACACCTGTTGTTGGTGGTGTTGCTGATGATGGCTATTCTAACAGGGGTGAGGTGGAATCTTAGCGTGGTTTTAATTTGCATTTCCTTTATTAGCACTCTGTCTTATTGGTGGCTCATTACTTATTTAATCAAGTTAAGTGTTGGGTTGCAATTTTTTGTTTTTCCAGCACTGGGGCTAGAACTCAGGGCCTCATGCTTGTTAGGCAGGCATTCTTACCACTTGAGCTACTCCACCAGTCCAAAAGTTCATTTATGAATGGCTATGTCTTAGATGTAGAAATTAATCAGTTTTTGAACATTTATATACACTCACAGTCAATTCACTGATTAATTGTTTGGAGGTAATACTTTACAAATATGACAATGTAAAAATAATATCTACCTTATTTCTTTTTCTTTTTTTTTTTTTTTTGGCAGCACTGGGGTTTGAAGTCAGGGCTTCACACTTGCTAGGCAGTTGCTCTACCACTTGAGCCACTCCACCAGCCCACAGTGTTTTTAAATTGCAAACAATCCTGTGATGAACATCATTTGTTAAACAATTTTTGAACTTGTTTCCAGCACTGGACTCAGTGCTACAGATACTGTGGACATGGTGGTAAATGACAGACACAGTTCCTGCCTTAGGAGGTGATGGGGGCTTAACAATCAATTATATGCTCAAAAAACAGTTACAAGTATGATGATTGCAACCAAGGAGAAGGGTTATGGGTTGGGATTCCTATTACATGGGAATGAATCTACAATCTTATCATAGTCCAGAGGCCATGGGCACTCTTTTCTCTCCAATCACTCTTCCTCTTTCTTGCACACCGACTTTCTTTCTGTTCCTTAAACAGGTTAAATCCTTCCCCTTGCACTTGTTTCCTTTGACTTCCTCATTCTTGTCTTAGCTCAATGTCACCTCCTTAGAAGGACATTCTGACACCCCACCCTAAATTAGAACCCAGTTACTCTACCACAGCACTCTGGTACTTTCCTTTATTGCATGCTTCCTTTAGCCCTTGTTTTACTTTTTGTTGTGTCTCCTCTCACTTGAACAAGCACTATGAGCCCAGGCATCTTATTCAGTTTTTTGCAGAACCATGGACAGCTCCTGGCAGCAGGTGACAAAAAGAGATCAGAGTCAGTACTTGATCTCAATCTTTCTAACTCCCAAACTTGAGCTCTTTCTCGAGTGTTCCGCTCCCAGTGCAGGAATTTCCCCTAGAATCAGAAATGGGTCCTGCAGCCTCTCTGGTTGGGGTGGAGGGGTGGGCTCATTTTACCCATCTGTTCTAAGATGTTGATGCTTTGACCCACAGGCATCTGGCAAGTGAGAAAACAGAGGCATGTACTTCTTCCAGAAGGTGGCGCCATTGGCTCACCACCAAATACCAGAGAGGTGTTTCTTCTTTCTCTCAAGAGTTTTTATTTCTTAATTTTTATTTTTATTTTAGTTACATTTTTTGGTGGTACTGGGATTTGAACTCAGGACTTTGCACTTGCTAGGCAGCAGTTCTGCCACTTGAGTCACAATTTCAGAATCGTTTTAGACTTATGGAAGAATTTTGGCTATAGGACAGAGTTCCCGCGTACGCTACACCCAGCTGCCTTTGTTCTTAACATCTAAAGTGGCACATTTGTCAATGAATGAGCCAATATTGATACATTATGAACAAAAGTCTGGACTTTGTTCAGACTTCCCCATGAACTTCCACCCTTCCCTGCTCCAATCCACAATCTATGGCTTCATTTACATTCCTTAGACTCCTGTGGGCTGGGAGAACTCCTCAGACTGTCCTTGTTTTTGATGACCAGGTTTTCAGATGGAACTCCAACATGCTTTGAACTCACGGTTACTTAAGTTCAAAGCTAAAAGTTGCAACCTTTTGCTTCTGGTGAACTTTGGAACACATTTTTATGGTAGAAATTGGTGACTTTCTACTCAAATCCTGGGCAGATCTTTAGAAATGGTCCTCTGGGCAAAAATCATAAAATCCTTTACATGTGTCTGTTATGTGCTGACCCTGTTCTCAGTGCTAGGGGTGGGGTGGAGCTAAGACAGGGTCCCCTTGAGGAAGATGGTACAGTTCTTTCATCCAAGAGAGAGCAGATGCACAAGTAAGGCAGAAGACAAGGTGCCTCACTCCTGTGCCACCCAAGGACTCATTCCAGGAAACAAAGGGGGTAACAGGAGTGTCTTCTTTCCTATGGGACCCTCTGAAGGGCCTGGCCCAGGGCTGGGCTTTGGGATAAGAGGAGGGTTGGGGTGAGGTCCTCATTGTTGAGCTCTCAGCTCCTGGAATTCAGCTCCTGGGGCTCCCCAGGGAAAGATTGGGGCTTGGGGAAAGAGGCTTCCTCTAGCCCTTCTAGGTCACCATTTCCTTCTACATCAAGTTAAGAATATTTTCTAAGCTTCTCCAATTAGGAAGAGACCCCCATCCAGTCTGTCTGTTTTTGAGAGACAAGTGCCATTTTTTACCACCCCACCTTGTGAAGAAATAGGCTCAGGACCCACTCAGCAAATGATTGGTGGAGGTGTGACTTGAATCCCGGGATTTCTGTATCTTGTTTTCATTTACCCCTCACCACCCATACCCTGTGGCTGGTGAGTCTTCAATCTTTGAGGAAAACAGCATTTTTGGAAAATTCCTTCTTTTTTATTTACTTACTTTTGTGGTGGTACCAGGATTTGAACTCAGGACCTTGTGCTTGCTAGGCAGACATTCTATGGCTTAAGCCACCCCCCAGCCCTTTTTCACTTTATTTATTATTTTTTTTGGGGGGGGTATGTTCTTGCATTTTTGTATGGGCTGCCCTCAGACTGCAATCCCTCCACTTATGGTCTCCTGTGTAGCTGCGATCACAGAACGCATCACTATACTAGCTTATTGATTGAGATGGGGTCTCACTAACTTTTTCCCACACTAGCTTATTGATTGAGAGATGGGGTCTAACTTTTTCCCATGCTGTCTCCTGAGTAGCTGGGATTACAGGCACGAGCCACTGTGCTTGGCCCAGAAACTTTCTTTTGATCCACTGAATTCTTCTCAGCTCTACCTTGTAGACATGGAGGTGCCAAAATAAGGGGATTCCTCACCACCTCCCACAGACACACTTGAAGGAGAGGCCTGTGCCCCAGCCCAAGCCTGCCCTTCTTGGGAAATCTGAGGTGGAATGACTTCAGGTGGTGGCTCACTGGCTTCAGGAGCAGAGAAAACAACCCACCTGTGCCTCTCACTGACTGGGGGTGAAAATCACCTTTTGCCTGTGATTTTGTTTCCCCATCAGTAAAATAAGGCTTTATTGCTGTGAATAAGATATTTGCCAGTTGAAAGCACTATGCAAAGATAACAGAGGGGGTTTTCGTTTCCAGTGTGAAGATCCAGGGCCCCACAAGGAAGTCGGTTTTCCCGCAGGACCAGAAGCGTCAAGCCCATATCCAGGCCCAATGGCAAGCTGAGTCCCGCTGCGGGGCCCCACGCCCTCTGCTCCCTCCCTCACTGAGAGCACTGTGAGCCTGGAGCAGGGAGGAGAGTCCAGTGTCCTGTAGGATCAGACGCCAAGCAGCTCGAAGGCAAGATGTGGCATCTGTTTCTGCCAACATCTCAGCTAGCACGGCACGGGCCACAGCCGCACTTGCAGATGTAGAGGGGAGAAGTGAACCAGTACACAAGTGAAGGAAGAAACGAAGCCCTCCACATTCTCACCGCCCCCTTTCCCTGTTCGCAGCAGTTCATGACACCAGGGGTACCAAAAAGGCAAACTGGACTTTATTATAAAGTTGGCTACAAAGTCACCGCAGCACCACGAGGTGGCCGTCTGGGCAGGCCCAGGCGGTCTGGCGGCCGGGTGAGTCCCGCACCAGGTACACGCACTCGTGCAAGCACATGTGTGACGGCAGGTCTGCCTTTCTCCATCGGAAAGGAACGTAGCGTCTCTTCGCGCCCCCCACCCCAGGCGCGGGGCGCAAAAGTCTCAGGAAGGGCCGCCGGGGCGGCGGAGTCCATCGGAATTGAAATCCCGTTACTGGTGTGTAGAGAATTCTACGTGGGTGTCAAGAGCCCCTCAGGGCACAGGCTGGCCCGGGTGGGCCCTACCTTTCCTCCACTAGGATCCAGGGGTGGCATGGCCCCTGGGAGTGGAGAACTGGCCCAGGCCCATGGGGCAGCGCGGTGGGGAAGTGAGACTCCCCCATTCCCCGCTTGAAATCCATTCAAGGAAGCTCACTACGAGTGAATACAGATTGAAATGGAAGCTGGGATCGCTCAAAGTCCCTTAATTTTAAAAAGAAGCTCCCCTCCCTCGCCCTCCCACCTCCCCCCCCAAATCCTTCAGGGCCTGGGGAATCAGATATATCCCCCTCTGGCCCCCAGAATCCCCCCAACAGTCCCGGGGGGGTGGAGAGCTGCTCCACGTCTTGATGACAATATGCCATACTTGACGACGTAAGTCACAGACTTATTCAAAACGTTGGTTCCCCTCCACTTCCATCTGCAGAGAGAGAGAGAGAGAGAGAGAGAGAGAGAGAGAGAGTCAGTCAGGCCTATTAGAAAACAAGGCGTGGTACAGTGCTGGCATATGGTATGAATTTCAAAAATGTTAAAAAATGTTAGCTCAATGGCCAAATGATCCCCACAGGCTCTGTGGATAAGGGGCAATGTGAGCAGATGGGAGGAAGCTGTGGCCCTAGCGATGGAAAGAGGAGAGCCATAAGCAGGGAGCTACTGTTATGGAGCTAGGGTGTGAACCCCATCTTCTTTCTTTCCTCAACTTCTACAAACTCTTGCTCTATATCAACTTCAGGAGATAAGATTACAAGGATAGAGTTCCAATCAACTTCCATTCATTTTTGTCAGACTTAAGGAAAGTTTCTTTAACTCTAGGGCCTTGATTATCTTCATCTGTAAAGTGGGACAGTGAGTCATAGAAAGTCCATCATAGACTTTCAAAGCACAAACGTTTACCTAAGGATCCTCCATCACTCTATTTCACATCACCATCCCCGTCTGCCATTTCTACTTATCCAAAACTTTCATGTTAAGTTTTTCATTTTTCTTATCCTTACTGCTACACTTAGCATCAGGTGATATCATCCACTTAATAAAATTAAGGTACAGAGAAGAGAACAAATTTCTCTAATCTACCCAGCATCTCATTGGAAGGAGAGGGACATGAGTTCTTTGCTTGTTTTGGCAGTATGAAGGGTTAAACTCAGGGTCTCATGCTTTCTAGGCAGGCACTCTGCCACTTGAGTCACTTAGCCAACCCTGAGTTATTGAACATATGAGCTGAACTCACCTTCATGGAAGCTGTCTTGAACTTGGCTCTGGAGTTGATGCAACTCATCAGTAAACCCATCGTAGGGGAATGCTGAGACACCTGTCTCAAAGGCGGTTTCATAGGTGGCCAGGTCCTCCAGGAAGCTGTGGTCTTCTGGGGACAGGTTGTTGCAAGGTGATGGGGCCCCTCCTGGGCCCTCTGCCTCAGGATCCACTGAACCCCATTCCCCATTGGGGTCTGGAGTAGAGAGATCCATGAAGATGTCTTCCACGGGCGCCTCTTCCAGGAATATGTTATCAGGGTCAACCAGGAAATCCAGCTCCTGGTATTTCCAGGGTTTCAGGTCCAGGCTGAGCACAGGGGGGCCAGTCCCTGGCAGGGACAGGTTGGAGTCTAGGGGCTCCAGTCCTCCAAGTGGCTCCAGTCCCCCAGTGCCAGCCTCAGCTGAGAAGGGCCTGTCCATGCCCTGAGCCAACTGGCTAATCTGCTGGATGAGACGATCTATCTCATTTTGTTCCTTCTCAGAGTAGTGGAAGAAACTCTGCTTGACTGGTGAGGCCTCAGGTGTGAGCAGGCCTTCGGGCACCAAGGGAACATCCACAGAGAGGGGGCCCCGGAGCTGGGCTAGGGCCAGGAGTGTGCAGTCCCCATTACCAGGGCTGCTAGGACTTGGGGGCAACTTCTCATAGAGAAAACTGCATCCCTCCTGGGCGAAGTAAGTCTTGGTGGAATTGGGGCTAAGTTGCTCCGGGAAGGTTTGGCTGGGGCTGTTCAGGTGTGCTTGGAATGCTGTGCTGGGAGGAGTCAGTTGCTCATGGGTAGGGCTGCCCAGAGGCTCTGGGAAGGTGGCAGTGCTGGGAAGCAGTTGGTCCGGGAAGGTTGAAGTGCATGGAGTCAACTGGTCTTCATAGCTTCTGGTCGAGGTTTCGGTCAACTGGCCTTGTAGTGGGCTGGTTAGTGCCTCTGGGAAGGTTGCACTGCTGGGAGTCAACTGATCAGAGAAGGTTGCAGTGCTTGGAGTCAACTGTTCTTGGAGAGAGCTGGATGGTGTGGGCAAAAGTGTCTGGAAGGGCTCATGGAGGCTGAAGAGGAAGGCACAGCCTCCTGGCTGGTGGGGTGTATAGGGAGGTGTACAAACAAGATCCTTGCTCAAGTCTGCTTGGAGAGAGGGCTCAGGCCCCGCAGGGAATGGCAGGTAACTAAAGTCCATCTCTTTGGGGGGTCGGGGAAGCTCTTCTGACATTGAGACCACACCGAGTTCAGATGTGCCAGGGAAACTGGTGCTTCTGGAAGCCCCTGGGGCTGGAGTAAATAGTGGGTTAGAGCAGTGCTCTTGGGGGAGGACATTCTCAGGGAATGAGGGCAGCATGGTTGGGGTGCCCAGAACATAAGCTGCCTGGGTATCTTCAGAGTTCAGCTGCTGGCGGAGGCTCCAGGCTTCTGTGTCACTGGAGAGGAGAGAAGAGGCAGCCCATAAGGGTTTGGTGTCCATTCCCAGAGAAGTTTTGTGATTTGCATCTCCTCCATGCTGTCCTCAGCTTTCCCCCAAACCTGTATTTGGCAGCTCACCTGATTGGGTAGTTATTGGCAGTGATAGAGCCCTCTGGACCTTCTGAGTATAACAGGCAGTAAATCCATGCCCAGCCTCCAGATTTGGCCTGCAGTCTTACCACCATCTCTGCCTGAATATCTCCACTCTCAGACACTGGGAAGAAAGAAGAGATGCAGGGTTAGGACGCCCATCAGGAAACACCACCTGAACTCTTGCCTTGCTCATTGCTACACTGAACTAAGGGAGCCATAACATCTTCTCTTCTGAAGAGTCTAACCTTTTAGCTTCCCACTTTGACCTCACCACTCAGAGTTCCCCAGCTCTGGTTCTATTCTTGCCTCATCCTTACCCTAATGTTCACTCTAGGGCATCCAAAACTGTTGGTCTATGGGATCTCCCTAACATCAGTCTTGACCACAACTCATTCTTGCTCTGGTCTCCCATTCCCTTTCCCAGCTCCCTGTCTTATCTGCAGCCTCTCTGGACACTCACACAGGCGGTAGTGTTGAGCAGAAGCGTGGGCCAGGTCCTCGGGGTGCAGCAGTCCATACCATGATTTACAGAGCAGTTCATTGCGCTCAAAGCCCAAGTAGATTAGGATGCTGGGAAGGTGGAAAGGGTGAGGTAAGCTTTCTGTTTTCCTTGCTTGAAACCCATCCACCTCACTCCCTCCCAGGTCCTCTACCCATCTAAGCCCCATCATCCTTTCTCTTGACTCCCCTAGGGTCCCCTCATCTCTTGCTTGCCTTCCTTCTGGAGTTCAAACACACTGGGCTTACCTCTCAGAGATGTCCAGTAAGGTCAGGTCCTTAGCATGTCGGCTCTGGAACATAGCCAGGAAAAGTGAGGCAGGGCCAGGGCCAGGGCCAGGGCCAGGCCCAGGGCGGGGTCTTGGCTCCAGTGGGGCACAGAAAGCCGTGAACACAGGGTTTCCTGCCCAGTAGGCCCCAGGAGGGTGAGCATGAAATCGGCCTCGAATAAGCACCAGTTTGTTGCCTGCACTCTGGCGCCGGAGGGACTTGGAGGTGTTGAAGCGACAACGGAAAAGGCGATCTAGGTGAGTAAAGAGAAAAGTTGATGAGAGTGGGCAACTGAGAGAAATGGTGGATGGTTGGAGTAGAGCTCAAGAAGGGACATTGGACTGAAAAATGGAGAAGGGAGTTCTTACCAGTGTCCAGAGCAGAGGGCAAAGTGAGTTGCTGGCGCACAGTGAGGTGATCAGCAGGGTCAATGATGTCATAGATACTGTCACCCTGAGCAACAAGGTCCACCTGGAGGAACAAAAATGAGGTGATCATCAGTGACAACAGTGAGAACAAGTCTTTGGTCCATAGCATCTTAAAGGGTGGAACCCCTTGCTCTTCAGAAATTCTCGATTTCTTAGTAGCAGAAAGCTCATTGTGCCTTAAATACTCACCATGGAGTGACCGAGATGCTCACTCACACTCTCGGACAGGTATAGCAACTTCCCCTCAGCTGTAAACACAAGCAGAAATCCAGGTAGTGCTGCCACAATGTCTTCAAGATCTTGAGCTGAGAGAAGCCCAGTGGGGCCCGCCAGAGGAGTGCCTGTGGGGTGGGAAGACATGGAAGTCAGGGTAAGATTGGGAGGCAAAGAAGTGAGGAAGACATGGTCTAAGTTTCAGAGAAGCCAGAGGAATTTCTCTTGGCCCCATCTCTGCAAACACGTGTTGACCTGCTTGCTGCCCGAGGCTCTTGGTCAGGGGACCTGTTGCTGGAACTCCCCAGTCAGTGAGCCCTCCAACTTCTAAGCCTTGTTTATAAGTATTACTGATAGGGCAATGATGGCAAGGGAGACTGCGTATGAGATTGTTTGTGCAACTGCTCGGAGTGCTCCAATTAGGGCGTATTTAGAATTTGATGATCAGCCTGATTATAGGATGGCATAGACGAATAGGCTAGAGGTTGCTAGAATAAATAGGATACCAAAGTTTATATTAAGAGTTGGCGGGAGCTTCAGGGGCTTTGGGATGTCAGAACCGCGGACAGAGCTCCGGAGAGGACCTGTGTTCAGCACCGCGGACAGAACCCGCAAAGCTACTGGTGCTGTCAGCACCGCGGACAGCGCTCCAGAGCCCCGAAAGGCCCTTTCAGCATCTACCGGCGGCTGCCCTTCCCCGGGCTTTGACAGCTCCATCCCTGCAACTTCCCAGGCTTCCCTCCCTGGACTCCAGGAGTGCGTCTGAGTTGGTGGAGATTGGGGCCATTCTGTCTGGAGTCTGCTTCTCCCAAAAATCTACCCATGGCTTTCTAACTCTCATCCAAGAACTAAGGTGAACTCTGGACGGAGCCCCGGAGGAAAAGTAGGAAAGCCTGAGTTAGTTCCCCCAAGTCCCTTCTCTCCCCAGCTCGCCAACACGCTGCCCTAGACATGCGGCAGTCCCAGCGGGCTCCCCAGCTCCTCTGTCCCCCGTGCCTCTCAGCTCGGGTCTCGGGTGGCCCCAGTATGCTCACCTCCAGCGAAGAAGACGCCTTTGCGAGTGTAGATGCAGGCAAGACTCATGATGTGCAGGTAGGACAGCCGGACCTTGTCCGCTTCAGCCAGCGGCAGCAGCTCTTTGAGGTTCCGGATCTCCGCGTTGATCTGGTCGCGGCGCGCCTTGGAGGCGCCCTTGGTGGAGCGGTACATGACGGCCGGCAGTGGAGCTGCAGCCCCGGAGCTCCGAACACCTGCGTTCCTGTCCGGCGCACCGGCGGCTTCCCCTTCCTTGCTTCCCAGGCTCTCGCTCAGGCTCTCGCTCGCGCTCTCTCCTCTCCTGGGCTCCGCTCGGCTGCGCTGTCCCCCTCGCCTGCCTCGTCCCGCCTTATATAGCTCCTGCCAGGCGTGGGGGGCTCGTTTTAGAGACGGGGGGGCGGGAAAATGGGAGGCTGGGCTAAGCAGGCTGCAGCGGGAGCCACTGGCTGGGGAGGGGGGGCCGCTCCTCCTCCCTCCCTGGCTTCCGACGTCATCCCATGACGTTGAACGAGAGCGGGAGGGGGCGGGGGGAGGGGGAGAAATGAGGCTGTGGAGGGGGCCGAGGCTGGCGGGAGCTGAACGGAGCCTGGCGCTGCCCTAGAGAAGCCTGAAATGGGTTGCGGGGACCCGGGCTTCGAGGGAAGGGACAAGGCATGAGTTAGGGCGGTCTGAACCCCCTTGCGTGACAGTTTGTAAAGGGCAGGGAGGAGCTGGTATAGACATTCATTCCTCCCTTCCCCCAGGAGATAAGAAAATGGGGAGGAATAGGTTCGTCTGCAAATCCCCCTCGGCATTTGTCGGATAAAGGTCCGGATCACATGCTAGAGGGGGGGATGAATTTTCCTTAGGCTTTAGGGGGGAGAGGTCATAGCTGGATTCCTCTCTGGGGTCTACTCAATCTGAGATTCCCTTGGCCATTTTCAAAGAAGCCAATTCCTACCCCCACTTCCCACTCCCCAGCCCTGGCGATGTATGGTGGGGGATCTAAATCCCTGGGATGTAATGGAAAAGGGGGTCTTCTGAGAAAGGGACAACCTGGATTTGGCCGTGGTCTTATTTTCCCACAGCATAGGAACACCAACATCACTGCTATAGTCTGCAGTGATTCGTCGTTGCTCAGTCGATTAATCAACCTTAATCACTTAGGAGGGAAACTGAGGCAGAGACCTAGGGCATGGTGAGGATCTGGATGTGCACTTAGGCCTCCTCCCTACCCCCCTCCCAGAAGCGAGCCCCCAAAGCGAACGGTTCCCCCCAGCCTCTTGCGAGCCTCCGTCTCTCCGGCGGGCCGGGGGCGGGGGCGGGGCCGGGGGAATCCCAGCTCCATATTAGGACAGGAATCCTCCGGCGGCTGCGGCGGCGGGCGGGGCCTGCCGGCCTCCGCACAGCTCGGGAGAGCTCCCCTCACTGCTTCGGCGGGGAAGAGGGGGAGGCAGCGGAGGAACGAGGGGTCCTTGCTGGGCCCTCGGGTGACCGCACATACCCGGGACCCTTTAACTCCGTCAAGCTCTCTGTACATTCTCTTCCAACCCTCTCCCCATCTTCAGCGCTAAGACTCCTAGCTCTGTCTCTCCACCTTCAGCTCTACACACACACACCTTTAGTTTCCTTTCCTCATCGTGTGCTGTCTCTTACCTTCGTGCGCCCCCTACCCTACAAAGGCTCTCCTGTTGATCACGTCTGTCTGCCTTTCTTGTCTTTGTCAGGCTTGTCTCCACATGGTGTGTCCTTTGTATTAGCTCCCCTATCTTCTTTCTCTATTCACTGTGCACTATTGCCCTCTACAAGGAAAAGGGGTACATTTCTTACCCCATAAAGAAAAAAGAAAAAGCAATGGCATAGGGAACATTTTTATCTGAAATCTCATTTGGGGGCTTGGGAGTGAGTGAAATCATTTGAGGGGTTGGGAATTAAGCCACTGAAAAATTGGAGGAGAGCCAAGTATGGTGGTACATGCCTAAAATCCCAGTACTTGAAAATTTGAGGCAGGATTTCAAGTTCAAGGCCAGCCAGGCCTTGTTATAGAAAGAGTGAGGATGAACTCTGACACCAAGAAGAGAAACTTGGGCTCAAAGAAATCTCCAATCCTCATGGGAAAGGGTGGTAGCAAAAGAGGCACTGTGGAAGGAGAAGAGGTGACTTGTAGGAGAAGGGTGCCTTAAAAGATGTTACATAGCTGTGGAGACCCTATCCTGATGTCATGTACCATCTTGGCAGAGATTGGGGTCATCCACATAAACCAAACTCTAGCCAGTGGTACAACTGAGAGGGAACGAATGGTGTCTATGTGTCTAACCCTATGGACCTAGATGACAGAGATGGTCACTTCAGGACCTATGTCTCCGTTGCATCTTTCATCTTTATCTGACCACCCAATTACCCCCTCTCTCAAGTTTCTATTATTTTGATCTTTGACCCCCTTCCCATTTGAAAATTCAGGGCAAGGGTCCTGTCTTCTTCACCCACTGATGCTTTAGTTCTTGGACGGAAGACATTTGTGGTGTTCCCTCCCTAATGTAGTCTCCAGCTGTCTGAATACATCGGAAGAGTGGGACAGAGCGCACTGTCCATGGTGCTGAAAGAATTGCCAATGGATTCAGACTGGCTTATGGGCCTTCCTAGAATATTAAAGTAGGGCTGGTGTCTACACAGACCTCAAGGTGAGGTCTCCCTTTTGGTTGTCCCCTACTACTCTGCGGATAAATATAGGGAAGAGTTCAGGGGTCAAGGTTCCTGGGTTCAGGAGGAGTTAAGGAAGCAAGGGAGGACAGCTAGGCTCAATTGAAAAGTCCTTGGATTTTTCTAGTAGAATGGATTACAGAGAAGGCACTTTGGGAGGTGAGAAGGGTCTAGAAAAGGAAATAGGAGGGAGGAAAAGAGGGCTCATCCTAGTTCGCCCACTTTGATTCAAGTTGAGAAGCTCTGTATGCCCCCAGTGTCTCCTCTCCCTAGGCCAGCTCCCACTCTTCTTGCCTCCCACCTCCATGAAACTATTTTTAACTGTGCAGAACCAAAAATAGCTTGGCAGCAGCTTTAGGCCGTGGGAGAGGAGCTATTTATATCACCAGTGACGGTTCAGAAATAGCAAGCAGGAGGAGGGGGGATGGCTGGCACGCTAAAGAGCTCCTGGCTGCTGCTAAAAATACTGCCAATGTGAGTCATCCTGGCCTGGCTGAGTCACCCCACTCTCCCCCCCCCCACCCAAGCGGCAGGCAGGCAGCAGCAACAGAATAAGCTAAGAATTGGAAGCCTGAGATAGGGGAGGCATCATAGTCTGTTGGTTATGGGAAAGTGGGCAAGGGAGTGAATTGGGAAAGGGGGCTTTGGGGTGAGTGTGTAGAGGGAATGGAGGTGCAAGAGCTTCCCAGCCTAACTTTCTGCAAGCATGCAGCATTACCAGCTACTGCACTATTGTTTGAGGATGCTGGGGCTATTAAAGGAAGGAAGGCAGTCTCTCTCTCTCTCTCTCTCTCTCTCTCTCTCCCCTTCTTTCTCCCTCTCTCTGCATTTACTTGGCTGAGACTGTGTTTGTATGTCCCTGTGTGTCTGCATCTGAGATTGTATGTCTGAGCATGTCTGTATGTCTGTCTGCATGTCTTTGTAGTTGTCTGTATATTTATCTGTTTGCCTATATCAGCGTCTACAACTGTCTTAAAAAGAAGTCCCCACCTTCCATGTTATATGTAGTCTTGTGTTTTTAACCTGTATATATTTATGTTTTCAATTTTCTGTGTGTCTCTCTGTATGCATGTATTTGAACCCTTATCTGAGTCTGCTCTAAGCCTTTTCTCTCAGCCTCTGATGGCGTGTGTAGATCTGCATGCTTCTGCAGACTCACCCACCTTCTGTTGCCCTCTCCAGTCCCACTCATTGGGCTCTTGTACCATCTATTCTTTGTTACCTCTCTCTAACCTTTGTCTCATAATCATTTCCAAAGGTCTCTCTGTCGTACGCAATTTCTAGTAAAAAAAAATACGAATGAGAAGAGCCCCAATGAGCACTCAGTTTTCTCTTGAACCACCCCAAGTCTTCTCCTGGCCTGCAGGAGTAAGTGGTTTTCCATCACTCCATATTTGGGGAGCTGAGGCTGAAGAAGGGCTTTCTTTAGTTCTAAAAAAAAATTCCTGGTGTGGGCACAGGCATGTGTAGCACGCACATGCACACACATAGGCATACACACACAACTGAGAGAATGAGAGAGAAAAAAATATCAAGGTCCCTTCTTTACTGAGCAGAGCTCGCATCTGTTGCCATGGCAACCCGCCCACTCCTTCCCGAAAAATCACCAAGAAGAGGTGATGGCATCGAGGAGGGATTGGCTGATTCCTTTCTTTATTATTTTTTTCCGAAAAAGGCCTTTTTATAGCAAGAACAGACCATGAGATCCCTTGCCCCTGTCTTGCATAGCTTTATTGGAGACCGAAGTGTACATAATTCCTCAACACCGAGGTGTATCTTTTCCAGAGATTCCCAGGAGGGTGACCTCCTGGGAGGGAATTGGAGGGGAATGCAATTCTTCAGAACAGCATGGAAACTCCTGTCTGCTTTTGTGAAGATTTGGAGCAAGGAACTTGACAGAGGGCTGTCAACATATATCTTGTCTTTCTGTGGACAAATGTGTCTATGAGAAAGGACATAGAGATGTAGAGAAGGGGGGGCAGAGAGAGAGAGAGAGAGAGAGAATATGAATGAATGAATGGATGGATAAGTGAATGGATGAGTGAATGACTTGATGGGATTTCAGGGATGAAAAGATGCCAAAGGGTGCAGGCGCACAGTGGTCATCAGATCACACCGATGGACAAGACAGTTCAGACCTCACGCAGAGGTTCTGCAAGGCATGTCTACATCACAGCTGTGGCTGCTCAACTGGGGACCCAGGGAAGATGGGCCATAGGTGAATGTTTTAGGAGAGCATGGAAGCTCACCTTCCCTGACTCTGGTCCCAGCCCAAGGATCTGACTCTGATGACAGATACCTCCCATTTCTGGCAGGCAAGGGCATGCCCTGGTGGGGGTGGAGTGTGTGGTGGGTTTAGCTCCACTGAAAAAAGAAGGAGCAGAGGAATGAAAAGGCTTCAGATTTGCTCTGATATGCTGGACATAGTCTCATGACCGATCTAACATTATTATACTTATCTGGTAGGTAGTGGAACTAAAGATCAGAGACGAACATTGACTTAATCGAAGTCACATGGCAAGACACTGGCAATGTTAAGCATTAAGTCCAGCTCCTACCTCCCAGCCAGGCTTGCTCTCCTGCAGGACGTGGTAAAATAGGAGCTTATGCATTCTGGCCCACATCTAAATCTGCTCTACTGCCTTTTTCTCTAAATAAAGTTTTATTGGAACA